CTTTCCGACCTTGCTCTCCTCCCTTTGCTGTCCCCCCGCTTGAAACTGCTGCCACGTTTGCCGTGCTCGACATCCAACCTGAGAGATGCTGTCTAGTGTTTCTCTGGGACAAACCTTCCCCCGCTCAAGCTGCTGTCCTTCACGCGGCTGCGAGCGAACTGGTCCCCGAGTGAGCTGGCTCCGAAATCTGCAACTTCTGCTTGTATTTGGGGGTGTAGTTTGGTCCAGGGGCCCAATTTTCCGACCAGCGCGCGTCGGGGGGGCAAAAATGTTGGTGTCGGTATCGGATGGTTTCAGCGACTCGGGCACCCACCGGCGCAAGCATGCGACTCTTCATAATGCCCATCTTGCCATGCCTCTCTTGTGTGGCTCAATTTGACCCACTGCCGCCACGCTTTGTGAAGCGATAATCCCATGCTTTGCACAAGCTTTTGCGTCTTCTTCCATCATCCTTCCGCTTGCCAGAGTTGCGCGTCCTGCGGTGGATGAGGGGCCCCTGAGCCATTAGAAATGCAGTTCTCATGTCTTTCTTGCGCATGGCGCGCCGGGTGGCAAGACCCACCAGGCCTGGGGTTGCGTTTGCCAGAGACTTCGGGCCCGAGCGTTTTAGGAATCGTCGCCCAGGATGGCGATCGAATGTGTTTGGTCTGCGCCCTGCTGGCGTGCCCTGCGCGCCGTCGTTTAGTACTTCTCCTCCTTCTTCAACCCCCTCGACCTCTCGTGCCTCGGAGCTCTCTGGCCTCTCCCGTTCCCAAATGCGCAGCTGCGCAAAGCTTACCCAGATGTTCTGCTCGGAGTTAGCAGGGCGATGGCCGCGCTTTCAGGTCCACTATTCCATGTCGCCACAGGGGCAGTGCATTCCAGACTCTATTCCCCAGATCATCGCCCGTCGCCTCTCCTCCTGGTTCCCCCCCGCCTACGCCCTTCCCCCACTGAGTGAGCTAGGTTGTCGGTGGCGCCGCCTGAGGAGCACCCTGGCCTCGCAGGCGCCATCCAGAGCATGGCCGCAACGTTGGCCTCGCAGTCGCCATTCAGAGCATGGCCGCACATTAAGACTCTTGCAGGCGCATGGGCCACGAGCGGCCGCGTCAAGAACTTAGCACAGTATAGATGCAGATTCGGATGTGATGCACCAAATGCTATCGCACACTGCCTTTTGCTGTGAGATCTTGTGGACAGCCGCCGAGATCCCCCCCCCGTTCCTAACCCCAGACCCCTTGGCTCGCCTAGGTTTGGGGGGTGAGTCCGACTACGAGGGAATGGTGAACGGTCGGCTGCGCATCCATCGAAGGCTCATACCCAATGCCATATTTACCATCAGCTTCGGCCTATATTTTCTCAGCGCGAGATCGTGTCTCCAGCGCTTCTCGCGCGGACCCGTCACGCTGCCCTTGTCGTTCCCTCCATCGCATAACCATGACAAGTTCGCAAATGCCACGTGCGCTCCTCGTCCTCCTCTTCGTTCTTCTCCTCGTCCTCATCCTCCTTTTCCTTTCTCTTCTCCTTGGCCTCCACCCTCTTCTTACCTACCTCTGCTCTTCCCGCACCTCACACCATCCCCCCCGATTGTCCTCAGGACCCGGTACCGCATCCAATGGAGATCAGGAGGGTAAGGAGGAAGATGTTGAGGAGGAACAGGGGGGGGGGGAAAGGGAGAAGGTTGGAATAGGGCAAGGAGGAGGAGCAGGAGGAGGAGGAGGAGGAGGAGGAGGAGGAGGAGGAGGAAGAGGAGGAGAAGGAGGAGCAGGAGGAGGAGCAGGAGCAGGAGCAGGAGCAGGAGGAACAGGAGGAGGAACAGGAGGAGGGGGAGGAGAAGGGGGAGGAGGGGGGGAGGTCAAGCTAGGTGCGCTCGAACGATATCTGATATCCTTCCCCTCCTACCCATCACTTCCTACTGCGCAGATTGTATCAATCCGCGGACGCGTGTGGTAGCGGACTTGGAACTCTCACAAAGACCCCGCCGTGTTATACGCAATCGGAAAGGGGAGCTGTGTACACATGAGGGGGAGGATGAGGTGGCGGATGAGCAGGAGGACAACCAGGAGGAGCAACAATATAGTGAGGAAGGAAGGCAGGAAGGGGACGTGGACACACAGCAGCAGCAGGAGACGGAGTGAAATGAGCGGGAGGAGCAGGCACACCAGGTGCCGGCGGAGGAGGGGAAAGGAGGCGGGGCGACAATGATGAGGAAGGATTCGACTCGAGAAAAGTTGCCCGCGCTGGGGCGAAAACGCCATTCTGAACTACGGGAGCACAGTCCCGATCCTGAAACGATGCCCACGATGCAGCTGGAACATCATTGCGGAAAGACCGGGAACGTTTGGATGACACGCACACACACACACACACATATAAGAGAACTCAACTCGCACCCATCCTGTGTGTAAAACAATGCGCGGAGGGGGGCGCGCTACTCTCAGCACGTCATCGGGGGAGAAAGGAACATATTATTGGAGAGGCCTGACGGCCGGTGCCGCCGACCCTGATCGAAAGGGCCAGGAGTGGGGGGAGGAAGCGGAGGAGGAGGAGGAGGAGGAGGAGGAGGAGGAGGAGGAGGGAGAGAAGCAGGAGGAGGAGGAGGAGGAGGAGGAGGAGGAGCAGAGGAGGAGGAGGAGGAGGCAGGAGGAGGGAGGAGGATGGGGAGGAGGAGGGAGGAGGAGGAAGGAGGAGGAGAGGAGGAGAAGGAGGGAGGAAGGAGGGAGGAGGAGGAGGAGGAGGAGGAGGAGGAGGAGGAGAAGGAGGAGGAGGAGGAGGAAGAGGAGGAGGAGGAGAGGAGGAGGAAGAGGAGGAGAAGGAGGAGGAGGAGGAGGAGGAGAGGAGGAGGAGGAGGAAGTGCATCCTTTGTGTGCCCGCTCGAAGAAAGTGCGCCCCGGGAGTGTGATATTCTGACTTGGGACGTGCTCCCGGAAGAGGAAGAAGTGCATCTCGGGCGTGCCCGCTCGAGGAAAATGCGCCCTAGGGGGGTGGTATTTTGACTCGGGGCCCGCTCCCGGGACGCCTCTGCGGGAGGAGGAGGAGGAGGAGGAGGAGGAGGAGAGGAGCAGGAGGAGGAGGAGGAGGAGGAAGGAGGAGGAGGAGGACCCAGGAGGAGGAGGAAGTGCATCCCGTGCGTGCCCGCTCGAGGAAAGTGCGCCCCGGCGGGCGTCGTATCTGCCCCGCCCCCCCCCCCCTTCCCCCCCCCTCCCCCACCCCCCCCCCTCCACAATTATTCAATATGAATATACTCTCCCTCTTCCCTGATGGCGTCCGGGTGATGGCCGCGCACCCTCCGCGTACTGTTTTTTACACACAGGATGCCCGGGAAATCCCGGGAAACGACTCTCGCTGAGGCGCCGGCGTCATTTTTTCCCAAAATGCTGCTCTCGCGCCGGCGTCATTTTTCCCAAAATGCTGCTCTCGTTGAGGCGCCGGCCTCATTTCTGCTCCCGAATCCTTCCCCTGATGGCGTCCGGGTGATAGCCGCGCACCCTCCGCGTATTGTTTTTTTACACACAGGATGCCCGGGAAATCCCGGGAAACGACTCTCGCTGAGGCGCCGGCGTCATTTTTTCCCAAAATGCTGCTCTCGTTGAGGCGCCGGCCTCATTTCTGCTCCCGAATCGTTCCGAATCGTGCTCCCGCTGCAGCGTGGGCCTCATTTTCGGATCGGTGTTTGGCCTCCGTCGTTCAGGATGGCGTTCTCGCCCCAGCGCGGGCCTTTTCTCGCGCGCCCATCCGCCCGCCACCACCGCGCCGCACCGCCACCACCACCACCACCACCACCACCACCACCACCACCACCACCACCACCACCACCACCACCACAACCCCACCAGCACCAGCACCAGTACCACACCACCAGCACCAGCACCAGCACCACCACCACCAGCACCACCACCACCACCAGCACCACACCACCACCATCACCACACAGCCCCACCACCACTACCACACCACCACCACCACACCACCACCACCACCACCACACCACACCACCACCACCTCACACCACCTCCACCACACCACAGCACGAGCACAGTACAACACCACCACCCCAGCAGCACCAGCACACCACCACAGCACACCCACCACCATCACCACCACACCACATCACCACCACCACCACACCACCACCACCACTACCACCACACCACCACCACCACCACCACCACCACCACCACCACCACCACCACCACCCCACCACCACCACCACCACCACCACACAACCACGCACACACGCACGCACGCACGCACGTGCACCACCACCCACTACGCACGCGCGCGCGGAGCCACAGGTCCGCTACGACACGCGTCCGCGGATAGAGAAAATCAGCGCCATGGTAAGGGATGGGAGGGAGGGGTAGGACGTCAGATATGACGCGAGCGCACCTAGCTTGCCCCCCCCCCCCTCCCCCCCACCACCACTGCGGGGAAGGGATCAAAGGGAAGGGGCTTCCCTTCGACTCCACTACTACGTCGTTTAAATTCGCTTTGGATAGCGCGCTTGAGGAGGAGAGCCCTGGGAGGGGGAGAACGGAGACGACGGAGACGACGAGTCGAACGGAGAAGCCCCTCACACACGCCGACAGGGTCGGCGGATTCACATCGGGATGATGGAAGAGGGAATAGGAGAGGGAGGAGGAGGAAGAGGAGGAGGATGAGGAGGAGGACGGCGACGACGACGACGTGGAAGACGAAGAGGACGAGGAGGACAAGGACGAGGTGGAGGAGGAGCAGGTGGAGGTGGAGGTGGAGGTGGTGGAGGTGAAGGAGGTGTAGGAGGAGGAGGAGGAGCAGGAAGGAGGAGGAGGAGGAGGAGGAGGAGGAGGAGGAGGAGGAGGAGGAGGGGGAGACGGAGCAGGAGGAGGAGGAGGAGGAGGAGGAGGAGGATCGAAGACGGAAACAGGGAGCAGGGACAGGAGCAGGAGGAGGAAGAGGAACCCCCCCTTGAGTGCATCCGCAGTTTTCCCTGGCTCAGGAAGGCAGGCTGGACGCCAGCAGAGTTATAGGACGCCCACGAGATGCGGATTTTCCGCGCCGTCGCCGCGTACCTCATCCTAGTAGTGCTTGCTGCTGTGGCCGACGAGCCAGCAGATCCGCCGGCCGATGCCGCGCCCGCTGATGACGGCGGCGAGGGCGGCGGCGGCGGCGAGGGAGAGGGCGGCGGCGACGAGGGAAGCGGCGACGAGGGCGGCGGCGACAAGGGCGGCGGCGGAGAGGGCGACGGGGGCGGCGCGGCGCCCGCGGGCGACGGGAACTCCGTGATCGTGGGCGACTACCGGGTGCAAGCGCTGTCCCCCTACCTTCTCCGCGTGGAGCCCAAGGGCCCCAACGGCTTCGAGGACCGAACCACCTTCACTGTGGTGAACCGCGACTTCGAGGGGCTCACGCTGCAGAAGGACGAGAAGGATGGTCAGCTGAAGACGGACCACTACACCGTTCAGGTCGGTGACGGGTCGATCCAGGTGTGGGATGGCGACGGCAACGACGTCTACAACTCTGGGGCGGCCCCTGCCGGGAACAAGCTGCACTGGCCAGCACCTTACTCGAGCGCCGGCTACGCGATCCTGGACTATCCTCGCTTCTTTATGCCCGAGTGGAAGGTCGCACCTGTTTCCCCGGAGGACGGTGGCGCGAACAACGGCTACGATTTTGGCAACGACGTCGAGGGCGACACATACATCTTCTTGATGGGGAAAGGCATAGAGGGTTGGAACGCTGCGCGCAAGGATTTCCTCAAACTGACAGGCTTTGTTCCTCTCATTCCCGACTGGGCCTTCGGGACGTGGTTTACTTGGTGGCACTTCTACACGGAGGACGTGGCAAAATCAGAGGTGCAACGCTGGATCGACGACAAGGTGCCGCTGGATGTGTGGGGGCTTGACATGAATTGGCGCATGACGGAAGGTTCGGATCGGAGGAAATGGGGGAATCGGGAAATGGGGGGTGCGGAATCCGGTGCGTGCACGTGGGTTTGTCCGCGCCGCTGGGCGCATGCCTTGACACATGGCCGTCTCCGGCGCCGGGAGGGGAAGCTGGTTACGTGAGCTGATTCGCTATTTCCAGGTTGCTTGACGGATGAAACAGGGGCGGAAAGCCCAGGGGGGAGCATTACAGGTACCCACGGGCTCCGCGGTCGCTCAGGTCTTCCACGAAGCTTCTCGGCGAATGCGTGTAATACCCGCCTCTGGGCTATCCTGCCCTTTCCCCCCCCCCCCGCCCCCCCGATTTGTCCTCCTCCCCCCCTGTACAGTTCCGCTTCGTTCGGTCCCCTCCCATCAGGGAGGAAAACAATCAGAGGAGGAGGAGGAGACGGAGCAGGAGGAGGAGGAGGAGGAGGAGGAGGAGGAGGAGACGGAGCAGGAGCAGGAGCAGGAGGAGGAAGAGGAGGAGGAGGAGGAGGAGGAGGAGGAGGAGGAGGAGGGGAGAGATGGGGAGGAAGAGGGTGGGCCTGCATGACTGGTCGATTCCGACCCCCTTGCGTCCGCCCCGAAAGATGGTGCCGACCTGCAGTACGACCAGCCCAACGGATCCGCCTTCTCAGACTACGAGGGGTGGTTCGGCTGGCTTTCGGAGAGGGGCATCCACACGTACTTCAACGACCACCCGGGGCAGCAGGCCCCCCAGACGACTCCGGACGAGGTCAATTTCCGCTGGAACGGCCTCACCTCGTGGATGGACAAGGCAGGGCCAATTTCGATTCGAGATCGATCCGAGACGATGTCGACTTCGCCCGGCCCGATCCGATTCGATCTCGATTTCCTGGCGATCCGATGCGGACTCTTGCTTGCGCAGCGTGGTGACGTATCCGGGCACGGCCGATCCGATTCGATTCGATTTCGAGCTGTTGCAGCCCGATTCGATGCTCGGTCCGATCCAATCCGATTTCCCGATCCGCTGCTGACTGATCCTGCAAGGGGCTATCGTTCTGGTGGTTTGACCACAACTGGAAGTTCTCCATCCCCCCTCCAAACGCTGAGCCTCCAGCTGTCACTTCAGGGACTGCGGTCTCCGAGTGGGAGGGTCTCACCACTTCTTGTTGGGGCTCTCATGTGTACTACTCAGTCGTGGAGCAGTACAACCTGAAGAACCGCCCTGACGACAAGTTTCATGGCGGGCGCCCCATCATTCTGTCAATGCAGGCTCCGCACAACGAGATCAGTGGTTACAACGTTGACGAGAACCCCCTCGTAGAAGGTGCCATAGCGGCTCCTCTGGATCCGATGTTGATGGCCGAGCATCCTGCACACCACAGGTACCCTGTTTGGTGGAACGGCGACTTCGCAACCATGAACAACAACCTGGAAGCGATGGTGGATGGCGGAGTTCATGACCTCAAGCCCTATGTGCATCCGGACTGTGGCGGCGACGGCTGGTTCAAGACCGTGACGGAGCTCCTGCGCCAGACCCAGATGTGTGCGTTCGGCACGATTCTGCGGTTCCACGGAGGGCCCCACCAGCCGTGGATCTACGGGGACTGGTGGGAGGACAACATCCGCAAATACATCAACTTCCGCTACAAGTTCATGCCAATGATCATCGCCGGCGGCCAGCGAGCCAAGACGGGCTTCCCGTTCGTGGCGCGGTGCGACCTGTACTGGCCTGAGGAGGGAGGCAGCACGTCCAACCTGCAGTACATGTTTCTTGACGACATCCTCGTTGCGCCCATCTTTGATTCCAGTGACAACTACACCGAGAGGGATGTTTGGATTCCGCCAGGTGCTTGGCAGGATGCCTGGAGTGGCGAGGTGGCATATGGGCCAGGTGCTCAGCACATTGGGCAGCCACAAGACCGCATGCCAATGTGGATCAGGATGGACGGCGGCATGCTGATAATGACTGACAAGCCAGGCCTCACCGTCGAAGGTGGCGATTGGTCAACTTTGGTTGTCGAGATTTGGCCTTGTCCGAAGGCCATGACGACCAAGCGAACCATTTACGAGCGGAGTACCCAAGAGTATCCGCCAAGCCAGGACGTCACATTGTCCACAGATGGTTCTGGCACAGCGACAGTCGAGATGACGAGCTCCGATGACCAGCGTGCCTGGGTGGTCCGTGTGAACCTGCTCGTTGGCCAGACGGTTGTCAGCGCGAGCGTTGACGGGAAGTCGGTAGATACTAAGGAGTACGGGCCTGCGGAAAATGACGATGGCACCTTGTGGCAAGGCTATTGGCCGTTTGGAGGCGAGGGAAGTAATCCTGCGGCGAAAGCTGGGACAGTGGTAGAGCTGAAGATGCCAGCGAGCACCAGCGCGCGCAAAGTGGAGGTGGTCATTGGTGATGGAAACGGGGGAGGCAAGAAGCCAGAGACCAAGCCAGCAGTGCCTGAGACCAAGCCAGCGGCCGAGACCACAGCGAAGCCAGAGACATTGCCAGCGACAGAGGCAAAGCCAGAGACCCAGCCAGCGACAGAGGCACCCAGCACCAGTTCGTCCCCGCAGTACGACTGCGACGCGGGCTTCGACAACTGGAAGGCCGGATGGTCCGACGGCAAGAAGGCATGGTGCTGCGAGAAGGAGTCCAAGGTCGGGGGTGCCAACTGCAGGCCAACGCCAGCCCTGGCCAGGCCGATTCTGCGCCCAGGATCGATGCAGATGTATACCCGATCCTCCGTCGTCGTGATCTCTTCCAACGTGGCTCCCCAGAGGTCTGGACCCATTCCCGAGGACGGGCCCTTCATCCCGAGCCGTTCTCTGGCAGCCCAGGGGCCCCGCGAGGGCCCCCAGAGGCCGAACCAAAACCTTCCGCCGTGATTTTACACGTCGCTGGGAGACCGGTTTTCGGGTTATAGCTCGGGTCTCAGGCGGCCGTTTGGGACGATTCAGGCACCCCCGGTCTCGGCGAGGCGCAACTGCTGGAAGGCATCCCGAGGAACGAATACTTGTGAGACACAGCGACAACTTCCGACAACCTCAAAGGATGTGTCGACCCCCGCTCGCCCACTCATCGCCGATAAGGGGCCTGACAGCCCACCCCTTCCCAGAACGTGCGGTTCCACTATCTATCGAGGGCCTATCGCTGATCTATCTAGCAAGCGCCAGAATATTTCAAAAACCTTAGGACAAAAACAATGATTTTGGCCTCGTCGTGCCCTCCTGGAAGACCCCCTGGCCGCCTTTTGGGCCGTCTTTGAAGCTTCTTGGGGGCCTCTTGGGCCGTCTTGGGCCATCTTGAGGCCATCTTAGGCCGTCGTGTGTGCATCTTGGGCCGTCTTGGAGGCATCTTGGGGCCATCTTAGCCGTGTTGGAGGCCATTTTGGCCGGGGCCGTCTTGGGGGCCTCTTGGGCCGTCATGGGGCCATCTTGGAGGCCTCGTGGGCGATCTTGGGGGCCTGGGGCCGTCTTGAACAGTCGGAATGTCGAAAAGAAGCAAATCCCCAAATCCTTCAAAAACCTCAGGAAAGATAATGATTTTGGCCTCTTCGGGCCCTCCTGGAGGACCTCTTGGAGGCCTCTTGGGCCATCTTGGAGGCCTCTTGAGGGCCTCTTGGGCCGTCTCAGGCCATCTGGAAGCCATCTCAGGCCGTCTTTGGTGCATCTTGGGCCGTGTTGGAGGCATCTTGGGGCCATATTAGCCGTCTTGGAGGCCATCTTGGGTGTCTTGGAGGCCTCTTGGGCCGTCTTGGGGCCCTCTTGGGGCCGTCTTGGGGGCCTCTTGGGCCGTCAGGAGGCCTCGTGGGCGATCTTGGGGCGATCGTGGGGGCCTCTTGGGCCGTCTTGAGCCGTCGGAAGGCCGAACAGACACAAATGCCAAAATCCTTCAATTATCCCGGCAAAGCAACCTAACAGCGATGTGTAGGAGCATATCTGGAAGCATTCCCCTTAAGATTCAAGTGAGAATCCAGTTGTAGAATTCTGCTGTTCTCGCAGTCGTAGTCGCATTCGCGATGACAGTCGCAGTGGCAACGGCAGTCGCAGTCACAGCCTCAGCCTCAGCCTGCCTCAGCCTCAGCCTCAGCCTCAGCCTGCCTCAGCCTCAGCCTCAGCCTGCTTCAGCCTCAGCCTCAGTCTGCCTTCAGCCTCGGCCTGCCTCAGCGTGCCTCAGCCTCAGCCTGCATCAGCCTCAGCCTCAGCCACAGCCTGCCTCAGCATCAGCCTGTCTCAGCCTCAGCCTCAGCCTGCCTCTGCCTCAGCCTGCCTCAGCATCAGCCTGCCACAGCCTCAGCCTCAGCCTCAGCCTGCCTCAGCCTCAGCCTCAGCCTGCTTCAGCCTCAGCCTCAGTCTGCCTTCAGCCTCGGCCTCAGCCTCAGCCTCAGCCTGCATCCTCAGCCTCAGCCTCAGCCTGCCTCAGCCTCAGCCTGCCTCAGCCTCAGCCTCAGCCTGCTTCAGCCTCAGCCTCAGTCTGCCTTCAGCCTCGGCCTCAGCCTCAGCCTGCCTCAGCCTCAGCCTGCATCAGCCTCAGCCTCAGCCTCAGCCTGCCTCAGCATCAGCCTGCCTCAGCCTCAGCCTCAGCCTGCCTCAGCCTCAGCCTCAGCCTGCTTCAGCCTCAGCCTCAGTCTGCCTTCAGCCTCGGCCTCAGCCTCAGCCTGCATCAGCCTCAGCCTCAGCCTCAGCCTCAGCCTGCCTCAGCATCAGCCTGCCTCAGCCTCAGCCTCAGCCTGCCTCAGCCTCAGCCTCAGCCTGCTTCAGCCTCAGCCTCAGTCTGCCTTCAGCCTCGGCCTCAGCCTCAGCCTGCCTCAGCCTCAGCCTGCATCAGCCTCAGCCTCAGCCTCAGCCTGCAGCATCAGCCTGCCTCAGCCTCAGCCTCAGCCTGCCTCAGCCTCAGCCTCAGCCTTCAGCCTCAGCCTCAGTCTGCCTTCAGCCTCGGCCTCAGCCTCAGCCTGCCTCAGCCTCAGCCTCAGCCTCAGCCTCAGCCTCAGCCTGCCTCAGCATCAGCCTGCCTCAGCCTCAGCCTCAGCCTGCCTCAGCCTCAGCCTCAGCCTGCTTCAGCCTCAGCCTCAGTCTGCCTTCAGCCTCGGCCTCAGCCTCAGCCTGCCTCAGCCTCAGCCTGCAGCATTCAAAATGTGGCCCGGGAATGGAGTTCTGGGAACTCGAAGAACACGAAATGGCCTACAGTTGGCTCCGGGCATTCAAAATCATGCCCAGGAATGGAGTTCTGGGAACTCGAAGACCACGAAGTGGCCTACAGCTGGCTCCGGGCATTCAAAATCATGCCCAGGAATGGAGTTCTGGGAACTCGAAGAACACGAAGTGGCTTACAGCTGGCTCCGGGCATTCAAAGTCATGCCCAGGAATGGAGTTCTGGGAACTCGAAGAATACGAAGTGGCCTACAGTTGGCTCCGGGCATTCAAAATCATGCCCAGGAACGGAGTTCTGGGAACTCGAAGACCACGAAGTGCGTTATTGTTGGGTAAAAAAGGAGTCCCCGGATTCCCGCGGGAGTCCCCGGATTCCCGCGGCACCCGTCCGGCATCTGCCCAGACCCCCCTGGGGAGTCATGATGCTTTCTTTTGAGACCACTAGAAACCTATCAGTCTTCGCTGTTAGGTAAAAACCTAAAGACAATCAATGATTTTGGACTCTTCGGCCCCTTCTGGAGGACCTCTTAGAGGCCTCTTGGGCTGTCTTGGAGGCCTCTTGGGGGCCTCTTGGGCCGTCTTGGGTACATCTTGGGCCATCTTGGAGGCATCTTGGGGCCATATTAGCCGTCTTGGAGGCCATCTTGGCCGTCTTGGAAGCATCTTGGAGGCCATCTTGGGCCATTTTGGAGCCATCTGGGGCAGGAAACCCTCGGCAACCACCTCTGGAAGTTTCGGGTGGCCGGCGAAACGCGCCGGAACCCCAGGGGGAGTTCTCTTGGAAAGAGAGCCAAAACCAAAACCGAGAGGGTTCAGCACGCCGGGCACCCCTGTGGCAAGCTGACAGGGGGGCGGCGGATCGAAGACGCCTACGGCGAATCACCGTCGCCCCCTGCCTTTTTGGGAGCGCCTATGTGGCCGAACGTTGAAGCCAGACCTGCCAAGCTATCGGACCATGTATAGAGTAGGGGATCAACTACAGAATTGATTTACCCCGGAATCGATTTTCGTCGCATCTAGATAGAAGCAAGTAAAACGTTCGTGGGTTGCTACGTATTCCTTCGGCGATTCGACGAAAGAAGTCACTCTTGGGGTAAATCAATTCTTCACTTGTTCTCCTACTGGGGGTCCGTACCCCCCCTCTGGTTCAAGCCTCTGGCTCAAGCCTCTGGGGGACCCCCCTGTCTCGAGGAGGCGTCAGACGCATCGCCTGGGCCGCGCGCTGGCCCCCCGCGCGCGCCCCCGCGGCGCTTCCCGCCTCGCGCCGCCCTCGGCCGCTAGCCGCTGTGATCCGATCGCCTGCGGATAGCGGCCGATACTTCGTTGGATGGGCCTATCCCTGACACCCCTCCCCCGCCCCGCCCGGAATCCGAGTGGCAGCTGGTGGGAGAGCACGAAGATGTCCCTGATCCTGCCGCGGCTGCGCCAGGAGACGAGCAGGAGCAGGAGAGGAGGGAGGAGGTTCTGAGGTACGAATTTTTGGAAACAGGTGGCCCTATGCCCACCGCCGCGGGGGAGTCGGGTGAACACCAGGACGTGCAAGCCAGCGCAGGGGCTGCCGCAGGCCCTGAATGTATGCATCCGACTACGTGTACCTCAGCGACCGATATCCTGATCCCTACTCCTCCCCACAGCCGCACGAGGGGAGAGGCTCGGAAAACGGAGTGTACTCTCCGCAGCATCCCAGGACCCCCGTCGACCCACTCTCGTCGGACAGCTTGGGGCACCGAGGGGGCCAGGGGGACGAGGAATCTACGCAGCTGCCTAATGCCCCTCGTGGGAGCCATGCCCCACCGATCCCCTCCCCGCCCTCTCCACCCCGCGTGCTATCAGAAGATGCGAGCGTTAGTCGCCCTGATCCCGCGTGTGTCCCTGGACAGACAGACCATCGGCAGCAAGGCATCCTGAGCCCTCCCCTCTCCCCAATCTCACAGGCAGTTGCGACCGTTAGTCGCCCTGATCCCCAATGCTCCCTTTCTCCGCCCTCTGATCACCCTGGATATGCGACCGTTAGTCGCCCTGATCCCGCTGGAGGCCCTGGTCATCCTCACCCGACCTTTCCTCCCTCTCCCCAGGCGGAGGCGGTGACAGGTCACCCCGCTTCCCTGATCCACCCTCACGGGTGCACCGACGACGTGGCCAGTCCCGCAACGCGCGCGGCGGACATCATTGAGTTGCGGGCAAAGTCCTGGACATCACCGCAGACGGTGATAGGCCGATTGGAAGGGGAGGTGGCCCCAGCCGACTGCGGACGACGGGGCAGCGCGGTCACGACCCCTCAGAGCAGCCGACCATGCGGACCGATCTGACGGCCCCCCCTCCCACCTCCCGCGGCGAGGAGGGTGCTGGATAACAGATCAGAGCCGATCGCTCGGCCTTCTCTATCCCGCCCAGACACCACCGCTGGACCTGCCAACCCCCTTGGCGCGCAGCAGGATTCGCTCTCCCCTTCCCTAGACGGTGCCCATATCCCGGGAGAAGACGAGGGCGTCGAAGCGGGGGGCCCC